TCTGGGTGAAGGAGGTTCCAGGTCTACAACCCATAATGTTTAGAAGGAGTATTTCTCATTCCATTTGTTGTTCCCTTGTTGACCCCTAGAAGGCATCAACATTTAGACGGAGTGCTCTTCATTCCATCTGGGTGAATGAGGTACCACAAGGATTATCAGAGGGGCAGTGAGCGTATCAGACTGGCCTAATACCTTAAATATTGGATTTGAATATCCCAGGGAACATCTGGGTGTGAATTCTGCTTTCGACATTTATTATTTATGAGACTTCAGGCAAGTAACTTTACCTGAGCCTCAATTTCCTCATATGCAAGATGCATGAGACTCAGAGTAGTAGAGAAAGAACAAGCAAGGTCTGAGTTCAAGTCATCTCTGACACATACTGGCTGTGTGACTCTGGGAAAGACACTCAGCCTCTCAGTGTTCTAAGCTAGTGGTTCTGAAAGTGTGGCCCAGAGAACCCTCGGGGATTCTTTCAGAGGGGCCATGAGCTAATTATTTTCATATAATATATATAACATATTATATATAATATATATAATGTATTATATATAATAATATACACATATAACATAATATATAATACAAAGATGCTTTAATTTCTAATAAATATTGATTAAATATAACCCTCATAAACAAAAACTTTTGGGGACCACAATAAAATTGAAAAGTATGGAAGGGGTTTTATTGGTCACTTGGTTCAACCTCCTCATTTACAGATAAGGAAACTGAGGCTCAGAGGGGGAAAAACATTAAAAGGTTTAAGTCTGAATCTACTGAGATGATGAAGTGGTTTTAGATGTTTTTAGTTTTAACAAGATTAATTAGGAAATATAAGAAGATATCTCCCACCACCCCTTTGCAGAGGTAGAGGGTCGGAACAGGTGTGAAAGACTACATAGAATGTCAGATTTTTTTTTTTAAATGAACAGTTTGATTTCGTTGAATGTTTCTCTTTATTTTTTGAATGTTACACGCACGGGCAGGGGGATGAAGGAAACTTAGGTGATGTAAAAAAAAAAACATAACAATAAATTTTTTAGAAAAAAAATTATTTAACTTTACTGCCAAAGGTCACACATGTATTTAATTGTCAAAAGAATTTGAATGTGAGTTTTCTCAGACCTCAGATGAAGTATTCTTCCCAGACTACGACCTTGTCCTCTTCTGACTTCCTTCCACCTTGACTTCATTTTAGCTGTATCTACCTACAAGCCTACACACCAGTTTCTTCTTTACTCCTGATACCTCAATTCCCCAAAGAAAAAACAAACCCACCCTCCCCCAAGAGTAACTACGAATGTCTCTGAATTGAAAGGAAGTTACTCTTACTGAATTCAACTAAACTGTCATTTATTAAGCATCTGGGTGCTTAATACTATCTGCCAAGCACTGGGGATACGAAGACAGAAGTCAAACAGGACGTTGCCCTCAGAAAGCTTACATTGTACTAGGGTGGCATCTCTCAATCTTTTTTGAATTGTGAAGCCTATGGAAGCCTCAGAATCTTGACTTCAAATGCATGAAATAAAATACATAGGATTCTGAAGGAAACTGATTCTCATACTGAAATAATTTTCCAATTTTTTTTTAAAGTTCACAGACTCCAGATTAAGAGCCTATGTACTAGGGGAACAAGAAATGTGAACAGGTAAGTTATAACAAGGGGCAGCTAGGTAATGCAATGGATAGAGTGCCAGACCCAAAGTCAGCAAGACCTGAATTCAAATTTGGCCACAGATACTTACTAGCTGTGTGACCCTATGTGACTAGCAAGTCATTAAACCCTGTTGGCTTCAGTTTCCTCATCTGTAAAATGAACTGGAGAAGATAATGGCAAACCACTCCAGTGCTTGCCAAGAAAACCCCAAATGGGGTCATGAAGAGTCAGACACAACCAAAAACAACTGAACAACAAGAAGTTATAGCAAGATGATTTGGGGACAAAGAGCATTAACAAATTGAGGCCAGGCGAGGAGGAAGGCTTTCATAGCGTGCAACTGAAAGAACCTAAGATTTGCAGCCATAATACCTATACTCTGCTATTTACAAGTTGTGTGACCTTGGAAAAGTCATAAGC